AGAGGAGAGGAGAGGAGAGGAGAGGAGAGGAGAGGAGAAGAGAGGAGAGGAGAGGAGATCATGTGTGATCTGTTTCTAGTCCTCATTTACGCTATTTCTTTTTATCAACTCTGTCACTGAAAACTGTAAGGAGTTACAAAACTGTAAGGAGTTACAAGCCCCTGTTGTACTGCCACCATAAACTCCTCTTCCAGCCAAAGACCATGCATTTTTCTTTAGTATAGAGACAAACTGCAATATGCTTGGCATATGTTGAGTTTCTTGGTAGGCTTGACTGAGTGGAGGGTCAGAGATCGGCTTCATACTGTAAATAATCTGCCATCTATGTTTTCAAACCACAAACATAAGTGTCCTTATTCCAAGAATAAATAAGAATAAACTGAAAAGAGCATTGAATTTCAGTTATATTTTATTGTTGCTTTTTTAACTTCCTTCAATAGTTTAGGAAACCAGTATGGCAAATCTACCAGACATAGTGAAATATGGAAGAGTCTTGCTGGCTAGATCAAGCCCTCTGCTATTTTTACAGAATCAAGCTCATCAATTTTCATTTTGATTAACCATTTGAAGTTGGCAAGAGTACTGGGAGAAGTATAAAACACATTAATTATATAGACTTTTTTTACTAAAGAAAACCAGGATATCAGTCCCTCTACAGCTGATCCTCCTATGTCAAAAATTCTGATTACTGCTTTATATGAGAAAAGCCTGCAAAATTTTAAGAAGTTAGTGACAAGAATATTTTCAGGGGTCTGCAGCTGCTCCATTTCAACACATGCAACTAAACAAAGCTGGAACATTGAAGGTTTTGGTTAATGAGTTATGAGAACAATTGTTGTCAGTGTGTGCTGTTTTGTTTCCTGTAATATCTTTCATTTAGATTGATAAGGAGCAGTTTCAAAAAATCCTGGAGCTAATTGAGAGTGGGAAAAAAGAAGGAGCTAAACTGGAATGTGGAGGAGGTCCATGGGGAGACAAAGGTTACTTCATCCAACCCACAGTTTTTTCTAATGTTACAGATGATATGCGCATCGCCAAAGAAGAGGTAAATAAATTCTTGGCAGTGTGTACTCTCACTGGAAATTGTTTGTTTAAATGTCTGTACAAAATATCCATTTAGAAGGTCAAGTGGCTACATAAAAATGCTCTCAGTAAACCCATCGTTCCATCCTGGTGGTGTATTAAATGCTTTTCTGGGTTTCTGATTCTCCTTTCACCAACTCAGTGGAGGTGAGGGAGAGGAGTGTGGGGCTGGCCTGCCAAAAAAGGCTCTGGCTTAAACTGGCAGTAGGTAAGAAATGCTGAGGTTCTAACATCATCCCATACTGCCCATGTCTCTCATACCATAATCATGGTAACTTGCAACAGAGAAGTAAACCTTGAAAACACAGCTTGTGAACCCTGCACTGCTTAAGAAGCCACTTAAATTGGGATTTGGACACAATATGAACCAAGCAACTATTCTGCAATAAGAGAAAACAAATTGTGGTTCCACAGGCAATTTTTTGGTGGCAATTACAGATTTTTGCTTCTGCAGAGTTACTTAACCTAGGTCAGTTTGCAGTTGTGTCTACACAGAGTTAAGGGGCTTTTACAGACCCAACTAACGTGGCAGTGCCATGGCATTAGTGATCATCTGCAAGGAATGGGAGAGAGTTAGGAGTGCAGAGCTGCTATGCCATTGAGAAAAACAGTTCTGTAAGCACAGCTTCAGTCTGGTCATAACCTCTTTGTGCTTTTTTTACATCCATCTTAATAACTCCTGCAATTGTGCTGCAATTGGTATGCATTATACTACTTAATACTAGAAAGCTCCTTCAAAACTATTACAAATGTAGGTGTTGCTTTATATAGCTGCTGATACAGTCTGTTGAACATATCAGTACATTCAGCAAGAGTCAACAAGCCGAGTTAAATGAACACCAGAGCATCTAGAGTTAATTGTGACAGGGAAAGAGCTGTAAAACAGGGGACAGTTGTATGAGAAATAATTTGAATTTTTTCTTCCTATCTGAGAGGCAGATAGTAAACTGCACAGAGACATGTTCCTTCACAGATCTATTAGTTTCCTTTGCATCAGCAGTACAAGAACTGTTTCTCTCACACTATTTTGAGTGTATTGAATAATGAAACCCCAGAGACTCAAGGCAATTTAAAGACTATCCAGGTTCGGAAACTCATAGCTTGAACAGTGGGAGAATGTTCAGTGGTTTTCTGATCTATGTAAATCAATCTCTGCAACTCGAGTTAGAAACTAGCACTAAACCCTTTCCAGGAAAATCAAGCAGAAAGCTCACGATCTATGGGAACAAAAGTAATCCAATGTGGTAACGTGCCCCTGCCCTACACAGCCTTGTCACTGTGTGGTGGGCATAGGTATCTCTGGCTGAGAACACAGAGCGGCAGTAGTGGGAGAGCAGATCCCGAGGGACTATCTCACATAACACACATATGGAAAGCAGAATTAGTTGTTTCACTTGGTGTACATGCCCAGTTGTACAGCTACCTGAAGAGATAAAAGTCTTATAGAAAGTTCAGAGGAAGGAAAATATTAATATCTCTCAAATTTAAAACTGGAGTTTACCAAGAAAATACCAGTTCATTGATAATCAGTATAGATATGTAACACACTGTGACTCCATGACAACTACCTTTATGGTGGGTGTCTTTTCATCTTTATTTGTTTTAATATTTTTTTAAAAACTGTGACTAGTCTTTGTTTTAATATTTTTTAAAAACTGTGACTAGTCTTTGATTCAAGAGCTTACGTACTATTTAGAAAGGAATTTTATCATAACTATCAGTGAAATATATGGCTGTCACTCTGAGGACACTTGATGAATGTTAGAATCCTGAACATAGGTGTAGTTTCTGATAATGTTTTGTTTCTCTGAACCTTGAACTACACATAATTTTGAAAATATATTATTCAGATATAGATTGTGAATATCACCATAGGTTTTTTACAGTTGACAGAAAAACGTTGATTTTTCAGAAGTTAAAACGGTTGTTTCAGACTGTCAGAAGTAATTTTCCTGTTTTTCCAGGGTTAATTGTTATAGTGCAATGTCTGCTCAGTGTCCTTTTGGAGGATTTAAGATGTCAGGAAATGGACGAGAAATGTAAGTAGATACTTTTTAAAATGTAAATTCACAGGGACTGAAAATGAAATTCCAAAACTCTACTTTAAATATTCATAACTAGGATATTCAGGCTGAGCTTTTGTCAAAGCAGTCAAAATACTGTTTAAAGGCTTCATGTTGTCAGAGACAATGTCAAGCAAAGAATTCCTCTATAAAACAAATTTTAAAATTACTTAGATACACACTTTTTCAAAATGATTGCTTTTAGTAGTTTTCAGTCTATTGATATGCAGAACTGATCATTGTGTTTATGGTTTACAGTTTATGCATATATTTAGAAACTGTCATTTACCAAAAGATATAGATAGATAGATAGATAGATAGATAGATAGATAGATAGATAGATAGATAGATAGTTTGTGGAATCCCCTTTAAGTGACAGGTTTTTGAAAACAAGACATTTCAAAACCCTTGATTTAAACAAGACTTTTCAGTATCAATGTCTTGTGACAACAACACATTCCAGCTTGGTCAAAAGTTATGACAAAAGTAGTTCTCTGTAGTCTTCAGACCTTTGGTCTTTTCCCAGACTAGCAATGGAGGTGTATACAGAAATGTTAAGCTAATCAAATTCTTTCAAACTTCTAAATTTTAGTTCAGCTTCAGTTTGAATCATATCCTGTCTCACCTGTATTCATACTGATCCTCATATTAGCCAGATAATCATATAATGTTACATCATGACAGGTTTGATATCATATGTGTTCATTACATAATGTAGAAAGTTTTTTTGGAATACAAATCACAAGCAGTCCTTTGTTAAAAACGCAATATATCTGAGAACAAACTATTTTCAGATTAATGAAAAGTCAAAACATGTAATTTTTCCCTTTCATTAAGCCAAATACATAGTACTTTTAATGAATAATGTAAGTAATTTAAAAATAGACGTTCAAGTGAAGTGCTTCAAAGCTTTTTTTTCTTTTTTTTTTTTTTTTTTTTTTTTTTTTTTTTTTTTTTTTTTTTTTTTAAGAGATAAAGTGCTAGGGTTTTCATGCTTGCTCATCATCTGCTCCTGATGGCAAAGCTCCCACTGACTTCTAAGGAAACAGTTACGACAGTGCTAAGAGCCTTAGAAAATGTCAAAATGGAAAAAAAAAAACAGTAATTTTCTCCATTATTACCAAGGACTGTTTTGCATTTGCTGGGTGCCAAAAATTGGGAGATCATCAATTCTGAATTATAGCCTTTTGTAAAAATATTTTGGAGATTTATTTGCTGGAAATAAAAACAATAAAAGGCTGTCATAACGATTAATATTCTCTGTAACAGTGCATTATGAAGGAGTTAAGCTTTTGTGCAAATGAAGTTTTTCCTAATGCTCAATTCAAAATGACAATTAGTGGACCAATAAAAATATTCGTGCTGAAGGGCAAGGAAAGAATTAGCTCAAGTAAGATGTCTGCCATGGAAAAAGGTTTTGTAAACATAGAATCCTAGAATAAGAGGTTGGGAGTTACCTCAGGGATCATCTGGTCCAATCTTTCTTGGCAAAAGCATGGTCTGTACGTTGTTCTAATTGTGAAAAACTTTCCTCTTGTGTCCAATCAGAATCTCCCCAGGAGTAACCTGTACCCATTGCCCCCCGTGGCAATCAACTTTAGGAGAGGCAGAAATATATGTGTAACAACTGCACTGAAGTAATCGGGAAGTCAGTGTGTCAAGCCATTGACTTCCCTGAATTCCAGAATAATATTCCCCATATAATTCTTGAAATTATAATACCATTATAAATCAAACTACCAAATGTCACATACTACCAGAATGCCTCTTCAAAAATTAAGAGAAACGGTAAACATTTTTCCACAGTACAAGAGTCCTGAGGACAGATTTCTGTTTTGCACACATATGTATCTAGTAGGATGGCAGTGAGAACTGGATATTGTACTGTAGCAAACCCTTGTTCTATAAAAAAATCAATCATGTCTGAACTGTTTGACTGCATCAGGTGTCAAACATCAAGGCACACAAGCAAGCTTCATCTCATCAAGTAAAACATAAAGGTGGAATCATGCTAATAACATCTCAGTAAAACTTGTGTTTTTCACTGTATGGAAGATTAGTGGATTAATTATGTCACCCATTTACTTGAGATGAGGTATCTATTCTTTGTCTCTGGAGAAAACTCTTGACTTCAAAGGAGGACCTTTGCACACAGCTTGTTGAGCATGCCTGTGAAGACCTAAAATGTGCCTGATTTGCTGCACAGAAGCCCAGTTTAGAAATGCACTAAACTGATTAAATGCAATTGTTCTGCACAGAAATGAAATTGCTCTCTCCCACTTTTCTCAAGAGACAGTTGCTGCAGCGTTTCAAAATACTTCCAGCAGAAATCTAGCTGCACAAATGTCTTCCGAATATGTACAGTATACTTGCTATACATCTGTCCAATTGCACAGTCCCACTGAAAATCCCATCCAGGACATAACTCATATAAAAAGCATCACCATAAATACTGTTCTTGGTTCTCTTTTATATAGGGGAGAATATGGGCTTCATGAGTACACGGAAGTTAAGACTGTCACAATCAAAATCCCACAGAAGAATTCATAATACTTCTTGAGGTGAAGAATTTAACATCTTCAAATGAATTTGAAAAAGCTATCTGAATTCTGTAAAGTTTTATGTTCCAAAATATTCATTAACCTTTTTGCTTTCTGATTGTATAAGAGATACTTGCTTACATTAACAATATCATGAATAATGTAGAAAATTTTAATGTGACTAACAGAAAAGGAAACTTTAATGTCTGGTACATAGATAACTACTTTTGAAATTCATGTTCAGAAATAACTATTTTTTATTTTCAGTGGAAGGTCTCTGTAGTGCTATGAAAACGTTCCTTTTTCAATATATGCTCTACAGGTACAGTTTGAATTTATGTTCTCTTTTTAACATTAGATGGCAAGCTTTCTGCATATATTTTTCTTTGTGGCCTTAACAAAAGCACTTATGAATAATTAGCAGATAGATACTTCTTGTGTTATTCAAGAATAATAGACTTCTAGATATATTGCTTAAACTACTGAATTTGTTCATCGTACTACACAAATGTAATCTGGATAATATTAAACAATATTAAAGTCCACCTTCAAAACCTAATATTGCTCCTTTCATTATTCTTTTCTGGTCTACCACTGGACACATATGCCACATGTTTTGTATCCTTAAAGAGGCATTGCTATCTTAATGGTGTGTTTAGGTCATCAGAAGCATACTGTCTCGTCTATATGGAGAATAAACCCCCTAATTCTTTGACAGTATTATGAACAGAAAAAATATGAACACACAGAACACTGGATAATTTGCAAAGAGCCAGCACTTGGCTTTGTAGTGATAGGTATATGAAAGAGTTTTAACAGACAAAAATCAAGAAATATTGAAGAGAAAGAGGAGAAGGGGAGGTGAGGGAAGTCAGTCTCCTTTGTGATTTATATCATTTCTCTGATACTCATATGCCTGCAGATAACTTGCATGTTTTCCTCTCTCGTGTTTCATTCTCTAGTCTATTGTTTCTCTTCATCTTTTTACCTCATCCTCTCTCATATAGCTGCTTATTCTCATAAAGGTCCTCCACAGACATATGTGTCCCAAGTTGATCATAACCTCTACAGTCTGTCTGTGAAGGTTTGGTGTTTCACAGATCTCTGCCAGTGCAGCTATCAGCACCCTTGAACGGCTGCTCACCATCATCAGCCACCAGATAAGCTCTGGGACAGTGATCTACAGACACCAGTACAGCAATTACATAGCCTGCTAATGACAGGGTCATATTTTCTCTGGACTGAATCCAGACCCACAATTCATCTCTTGTTAGAGAGGGTCAGCCTTACATGCAACCTTATGTACAAACTCCACCCATCAGTACACAGCACACCACAAATTTTTAAGCAACAATTATGGAGAGCTTGCAAAATAATAAAAGGAAAGAGATTTTGCTCATTTGGATATACTTGTCAAATTAAAATATTTTTTTTAATAAGATGTTTCCAAGAAAACCTGGATCAGGATTTTACCCTATGACTCTTCTCTGGATGACTTTTTTCATGAAGTTAAGAACTGGATGTAAGATGTATGGCATGAGTATAGCTCTCCACAGGCCTCTACACTGTTCATGAAAGGTGTCAGTTCCAAATCCCATACCTATGACTCTGAAATAATTTCAGTAGCCATAGTTGACAAATAAACCCAATTCTGCCCTCACATCCTAAAACAAGTAACAAAATAATATAATAACGAAAAGAAGGAAGAGTGAATCAAAAGTAAAAATGTACTGTGGCAATAGCTACTAGAGATTGTTCAGCAGACAGAAGTGTTCAAAAAACCCCATAGAAATTAAATTAAATGCCAAATTAAGGGAAAAGGAAAAATAATTAAAAAACAAAATCAACAAAAAGCCCTACAAGTTTCAGAGCAAGAAAGAATGGTAAAACACTCCGAAAGGCTTTTAAAAGTGGTAATGAACATAGTATCAGAGAAAACCTGGATACTGTGAATGACTAAACATTTTAAAAGAGATGAAAAGCACTGTGTAGAGCAGGTATGGGTCTTCATAAATCTCTACTGTCAAAATTCTGGTTTCGTTGAAGTCTATTGTAGAAGTGTTATAGGTCAAATGACAGTAAGTCTACATTTGCATTTTGGTTTGAAACAGGAGTGCACTTCTGAAATTATATTCCTGATCATCCCCTTCTACCTTCTTTGTTTCACATGGAAGAGTGATACAGGGGAGAAAAACTGGGTGCCTTTTCAATGACACTAAGCCAGAAGACACAAACTTGGCCTGTGTCTGGTGTGATCCAACTACTAACAACCATTCAGCTCTAGAAGCAGACTGAGACTAGTCTGAAGCAACTTCCCTCTGAATGTGTACTATGTTGGCAGTTGGTTCTCATCTCTTCACAGTGTCTTTTGGCAGCACAGGACTGCAAATCCATTCTTACCAGACTATGCTGCCTGCGACTACAAGCACAATAATGACTTTGAAATATAACCCAAGGAACGGTAAAACTCAACATAAATAGAAGGGTATAAGGAGAAAGATCAACCTGAACTTTGCATACATATATGTATTGTTCTTTACAATGCCTAAAATATTTTAATCGATTTAAATGCTTCACTGTGATCAAAACGTAGCATCCAGTAGTGACTTCAAGTTGTCATTTTTTTCAAAAACTTTGAGTGAGGAAGTGTTTCCATGTGTAAATTAGGCATGAGAGAGAATGAGAGAGAGAGGGAGAAGAGCAAAAGAAGGCAAAGTATATAATTCAGTCACAGTGAAACACCCAACTTTTTTATCAGAGCCAAGTATAGCTTCGGTTAATCTGATGACCACAGAAGTTGTTCCCAAGACATGCCAATGTAAAGAAATACACCTTTTGGCATCTAGTAAGTTTAAGGAATTCAATATGTGTATGTTTGCCTAATGCGCTTGAGATGTGTTTGAAGGAGGCAAACAAGGACTCAATAAATCGCATAGTATGGTTTACCTTGAAAGAATACATTAGTTCACAATGCACGGCAAAGTGTCCAGCCCAGAAGAATTTTGAAATACAGTCCCATTTGTTTCTCAAGCACCCAGTTACTAACTCAGAGTAAAGGTCAGGAGTGGATTTCTCTCCGCAATACACACACTATTAGTACTAATTCAATTTATCCATTCAAGAAATGTACTTTCACAATTAAAAGTGTTTCTAACTGTGCACATAGTATTAAAGATTCCATCTGATGGTAAAATATCTTGGTCTTTGGGTTATTTCTGCACAGGGGTACAGTGTCTTGTGATCACCCAGTTGGGCCAGAATAAAGGAGGACTTAAACTCTGCAACTATTACACAGGTAATTAAGAAGGACTTTTCATTCTGGGCTTGAATCACTATCATGTTATTCCTCTTACGTGCTAAAGCAGCACCATTGAAATTTACTGGGATGAAACATGAGAAGAGAAATAGTTGACCTCTATGTAAATATTATACTTATAATGTTAGTGAAGTTGTAGTCAGCATTTCACATTCTTGCCATCACCTGGGACATTCCTGTACCCTCCCCTGTCCCATACACATTACTTTTTTAAGAGGGGGAAAGCTGTTGAATGACAACAGCAGGATAGAGGGACCCTCAGGCTATTTCGGTCAAAATAGTGAAGCTATAAGGAATTCTCATTCTGTCTCAAGAAATAAAACTACTGATAATCCTTGACTGCCAGATATCCATGTCTTAAGACAGACAAGAAAAGATATAGAAAAAAATATTCAGAGCAAGAAAGGCATCTGGCTTGGATAAGGAGTGAAAATTCCCTGATGATGTCGGTTTTAGGGAGGAATTTGAAAGATGTGAGATCTTGGCAGGCAAAAAAGCTTATGGGAGAATGGGATATTCCATGTGGGACACAAAAGATAAGTGCAGAAAAGACAAGTGTAAGAAAAAGTAGGAGAAAGGAAGGGAGCAATAGCAGAAATAGAAGGAGTCTGATGAGGAATGAAAGCAAAGCTAAGGATCACTTTGAGATTCTGAAAGATCTCACTGTAAGGTCTCATTATAATTCTGTAAGAGTTAACATGAAGGGCTTTAATTGATGAAGTGTCCTTCCCCAGTCCCTCCATCATCATGTCTGCTGTCAGACTGTATTTGTCCTGCCTGATCCTTCTGCTCTCCCTCTTCTCATTCAAGTCATGCTTCAGTTCTCTTGGTGTTAATGTTGTCTTCCATCTATTCCCCTACTGAAAACTGAGATTTAAACAAATCCCTGCTAGGAAAAGTCCATTTTAAAATAAAGTAGCAAAAAGAGAGTCTCTGAAAATTTGAAAATAATAGTTCCCTGTGACTTTAGTGGGCAGCCCTAAGGACCTTTGCTATGCTGAGAAAAATACAGTGGTTTGATTAATATACTGCTCCGGAAACAGAAGTTTTGATATGGAAGCACAACATAAACTAACTCAGTCAAGTAAAAAGATGCATAGTCCTGTAGGAAGGTCATAAATCACTTGTTGCGTGAAAATCGGACAGGTATAAAGATCCAGTAAACAGAACCGATTATTGAGAAGTTTGACAGATGAAAACCCAACTTGTGAAATAGTGCTCAAAGGGCAGCAACAAAGAGGATTCATAGACAGTATAATAAACTGGCCATGCAAGAGGAAGAGACCGCAGCTGATTTTATACATTACTATCAGGCATTTCAGAGAGTTCTGGGAGAAGTATTAACCAAAATCCAATCCAATTGGCCTCGATGGGATAGAAGTAGCTAACACTTCCAAGAAATAAGTACTGAGGGTTATTCAGAAGCAAGCAAGCTTGAAGAGACAGCTTCAAGGAGAGGGTTTGTTTTATTATTTTAGTTTATGTCCTCATATTGCTGATAATTTTACATGGAGTATAAGATTTTGGCTAAATCATAACTTGACAATTAAAATGCTCAATACACCCCAATCCAAGACAGGTCTGGACATAAAGAGCAATTTGACAAACTCTGACAAGCATTTCAGGTTATTAAACAAACCACTACAACTGGGCACCGTCCTCTCACTCAGTGCAGAAAAATCCCTTAGCCACCAGTACTTCTTTCATAGACTGTTATGAAGCTTTGAAAATACAGCATGAGACATACAGCACAAATCCAGCTGTGGTAAACAATAATGCCTTTGTATCATCATACCTTGCCAAATGGTACAAGCTGTCAAAACCTTACCTATAAGCTCCTTGCAGGTTGGTGACTCCATTAATATGGATTCTACATTCATTTTCAATATAGCTCTCTATTACACATAGTGACCATGCTTAGGACTAGAACCACACTGTGCAGTGATAGCAAGAATGACACTGGCAAAATTTGAGCAAGATTAGAGATTTACTGCCCTTGAAAAAGAATGTCTGGTAGGCATATAAGTGAACGAAGTGAGAACAACCAACACCATCCACAATTAACTTATTCAAGAATCAAGAAAAACTTTGTATGAGTGTGAAAGAAGAAATGTGTCATGTGAACATTGTGGACGATAAATATGTCCCATGACCATCAACACATGTTTTAGAAGTCTCATTATGGACAGAGACTTTATATTGCTAAGCACACTGCCTG